CTAATCACTAGTTGGACAACAAGTTAAAGGACACCATCTTAAAATGGATCAAACACACAAATGTCCTATGCTACACCACTATTTTGTGGAACATTTGGAAAATGAGAAATGTCACTTTGTCCAGAATGTACAGGCAATAAAACTCTAATGGAGTTTAGGCGAATCAGGTCCACTCAGTCTCGTCCTGCAGCATCAATGCAAAATCCTATGATAGCGATCATCAGGCTCAATCTCGTTGATGTAGCTTGGCCCAGAATGAAATAGGCTCGCCATCAGAGAGTTGGTTTTGACTATGACGTTGGGCTCAACCCTCCGTGTAGGTGATTTGGACTCACGTCTTGGGTCATCTTGTCTAGACCATTGGGCTATATGGAAATATACTTCAGTAAACACATTCTCTAACAAAGATGTAATAATAATTCAAACATGAATATAATGTTATGGTGATGTTCTGTACATTATGGTGATGTTATGTTACTAATCATTTTTATTATTAAAAAATTATTACATTGGATGCTCGGTATAATTAGTATACCATTTTTCCGAGTAAATATCTATAGCATACCTAATATTTGTCTATAGTATTTTCATGGACAAATTTTTATTGTTCCTATATTTAATTTTTAAAAAAATCTATAGCACACCTAAATATTTTGGTATGATATCATACCATATTGAAACTGTCCATATACCAAAAAATTAAGTAAATTAAATATTTTCAGCATTTTTCCACTTCTATTTGTCCATAGTATTTTCTTGGACAGATTTTTATTGTACCTATATTTATTAGAAATTACTCAAAATATGAGAAAATCTTAGAAAAAAACCCTGAAATTGGAATGCGAATATTTTCTTCCAAAATAGAACTTATTTGATCCCCCTTAAAGAATAATGGAATAAAATTTTCCTGAATAAGAGTGCATAGATTCTATATTGGGAAGATAACAAGTTTAATTAGAAAATTTGCTAACTTATACTGGAGAATATTCTTTAAATGTATGATTATTTTAATTGGATTGATTTCAATATCAGACCAAATAAGACTAGACTTAAACATGCTAAATAAAAATTAAAATAGACTAGATTAAAGTAGACTGGATTTCGATAGTTGAAAAATACACATAGGATAATCATTTATTGAGTAAGACCAGATTGGTTCAGACCATATCAAATCAAATCACATACTCCCTCCACATTTTGAAGTTTGCTACTCTTCTCTTTTCAGGATGTATTTACAAATGTAACACCGTCCCCAAATATATTTATTTGTACCAAACTATGTATTGAACATTAAGAAATGGCCAGTTAATGAATTTATGTGGTTGTAAATTTTTGTTATTACTTTTACGTGAATAGTAAAATGCACATGGGTTTAGATAATATTTGTATGATGATGTATATTCAAGATATGCTATAGAAACAACATAGAATTGGCCGGTTGATCAAACGAGACTCATATACCAATATTGGTAATCTGACAGATAACGGCCCCTAATAAATTCTGGGGACCACTAAATTAAAGTTGGGGAATGTATATTCGTTCTCGAGGCCCATATTAATTGGGAGAATGATACTCCCTCCGTCCCGCTAAGATTGTCCCATTTTACCTTTTCGGGAAGTCTCACTAAGATTGTCCCATACCAAATTTGGTAAAGATTGTGTGGATCTAAACCATTCTTACTTTATTCTTACTTTATCAATTTAATATCAACTACACAAACCCACTTTTCTTAATAATCGTGTCACCTTCTTCTGTCCCAATCTTAGTGGGACGGAGGTAGTATATTTTATTGGGCCCGGTAAAGTGAAATTTAATTAAAACAATCTAAGAAATACAACTTTTGGGGTCAAATATACATACACTTCGAGACATAATGGGATGACCTCCCACATGAGTAGGGGTCATCCCACCAAATTATACACTCAAGGTTGACCAAGGGGAGCTGCAAAACATGGGAGTGGTTGTGACAGTGGGTTGAAAGGATGTTTGAGTGAGGGTGAGACATGAGGTGGACCTCTCATCCACACTCATTGCATTAGTAAGACAAAAGGGTTATCCCTACCCTCCCCTCTACCATCATTTCGGCCAACCCATCTCAAACAAATGGAAAACACCTTGCACATCCCATTCTCCATTGTTAGAAACAAGCTCAAGCAAGGGGAAGGTCCAACTGTCCAAGGAGGAAGATGGGGTGGGAAAAGAAGGAAAAACATAGAAAATCAACATAATGATCTTATTAACCTTTTCTATTCACTCATGAATCCCATATGCTGTAATAAACCAGTTGAAGGACCCCTAAGATTGTTCTACATGATTAGAGATGTAGAGTGAGGGGTTGGAAGGTGGTTCTAAGTCCAAGAACGGACTTAGAAGCCAAAGGTTACCGGTTCGCCGGAAAATAACTTTTTAGAGGTTAATCAGGTTATATATATTGATACGGGGCTTGGGGTGTTGAAACCTTTTTAGGAACTTGTATAAGGTGTTCCTAGATGCTCTCATGAAGTTGAGATAGTCACCGGAGATCAACCGGAGAAGGTAGAACTTCCTAAAGCTCATTTGAGGTCAGTTAATGACTTAATGTCTTATAACTCTTTGGTTAAGTATGAGATTACCTAAAGAAATGTTATATGTATTCATAATGATGTTTAAAGGAGTTTAAGCATGCGATTAGCCAAGGTGATTAAACTTATGTCAATGAAACTACTATATTATGCATGTAAATGAATTAAAATGCATAAAAACATAGGTGATGTTTTGAATGGCCAAAATGACATATATTGATTGTTTATGATTTATTACACGTTGTGTATAAGTTTTGTAGCAATCAGAGTTGATTCAAGTTGTTAACGAAGCGTTGACCGGGTGTAGGGGAGTTGACCAGGGGATAAACCGACTCTAGTTCAGTCACTGCCAGCCCGGTTTGGGAATGAAACAGGTGGATTGGCGCCGGCCAGGGGGTAAACCGACGCCGGTTCGGTGTGTGATTTCGGGCCCGGTTTTTGAAAGATCGAAAACTGGTGCTGGTTCAAGGTAGAACCAACACCGGTCAATCTATATATGTATATTTTGCATGGTTTGCATGGAATATGTGTTTAAATGCTAAGACTTGGATTAGTCTTTAGTAATGATATGATATAGGCCCTATCTAAGTATGATATATGGTAGATTATAGGATATGGTGGAGTATCTAAGGACGAGATTGTTCTCAAAACGCGAAATATAATTGGTGGAGTATCCAAGGACATGATTGTCCTAAACACTCAGAATATAAACGGTGGAGTATCCAAGGACGAGATTGTCCTCAAAACTCGGGATATTATTGGTTGAGTACGGGACATGAGTAGTCCTCAAAACTCGTAGTATCTGGGTTAGCAACCGGGACCAGGTAGTGTCCTTAAATTGTTTGATTTAACAAGCAGAAGTCATATACACTCATAAGGATGTGGGTGGGTTTGGGAATTGTAGGTCAAGGACTATGACTACTATGAATTTTCTAAGTAAGCGAATAACCTACGAGTCACGTACTTTCCAAGTGTATATACTTATATGTATTTAAAGACTTGATTGAAGACTATAAGTTATGTATCACCCTATGTTTGGGTCTTATACTTGAAACATTAGTTATTCTACATTTAGCTTGTTTCTCATCAGTGCAAGTGTACAGACGTCTTCAGGGGGCCTCACTATTTTTAGGTTGAAGCTAGAGCTTGCTACCTTCACCTTTACAAACGGGTGAAGTGAATCAAGGAAGACGTGATTCATGTTCCCTTTATCGATTTGAACTTATAAACAATGTTTATGGATATTTTAATTACTATCAATTGTTTTGGGCCCGCGAGTCCACGTTTCGTCCGGATGTGGCCCATGACTTTACAATGAATATTTCCGCTATTCATTCACTTCAAATGTGATGTCGTTATGTATGTTTACTTACCAAGTATTATATGAACTATGTTCATGGACGCCTTGTTCAATCAAGTGAGGGTGACATCACTTGATTGTGCGGCGGTTGTTCACGCGCTTATATGCGGTCTGGGGTGTGACAATAAATTTGTTACTTTCCATTTTTGGTAAGTTTTCCTTTAAAATTACTCGATTACCCATACTTTTCTACCTTTTATCTTGTATTTTTATCAATCTAGGACCTCAAAGATAGACAAATAATCAAACCGAGACCTAAAAAATAAAATGTGCCTGTATAAAGCCCGAATGATTGAAAACTATCAAATTAGGACCTAAAATTTCACATGTTTTGATTTATTTAACTTTTTCATTAATCCTGTTGCTATTTTTTGGTTAATTTTCTTCACAAAGTTGCGAGTTTAATAAAATTAAATAATACAACAACAACTAATAATATTTATTTAGTAAAATTAAATAATATCTTAAAACTTTAAAAAAAGAAATACTCACTCTGTACCCCTATAATTGTCCCATTTTTTCATTTTTGGATGTCCCTCTATTATTCTTCCATACCATATTTGACAACATTTGTGTGACTCTAATTCATTCTTACTTTGTTTCCACTTTATCAACTCATTATCAATCACATAATTCTACTTTTCTTAAAAACCAGACGACTCTCTTCCGTCCCAATATCAGGAGGACAGAGGTAGTAATATAAATTCATGACAACTTAGATCCTATATTGATAGTTTTAAATCATTCGGGACCTATATCGACAAAATTTCATTTTTCAGGTCTCGAATTGATAGTTGATCTATATTTCAGATCCGGGTCAATAAAATTCATTTTATCTTTTCCTTTCATAATTTTCTACCTCTTTACTACTTATCTACACTATTCATTATTCTTATTATTTTTTTATATACCGTGTGGTCTGATGACATCACTGCTGATCTCCCAATGAGGAGGTCACAGGTTCGAGTCCCATCCCAATCAAGGATGTTGTCGTCAGGTAGAGTAGATACTATAATAGGTTTAAAAAAATGTCCAAAAAAACTTAATATAACCATCTCAAAACGTATAGTATAAAATTGAGTCGTGCTTAGTGTAAATACACGCGCCAGAATTTTCCCAAAAAATTGCATAGAAGGCACGTACCAGAATTTTCCTAAAAAAATTGCATAGGCGCTTAGTCGTAGGCTAGGGCTGGCTTATTGACGTTGAAATTTGGCTTCCTTTCCAGGTATATCACTATCCCCTGTTTCCTTTGTATTTCCTGATACTTGTTCATTGCTTGATCATTTAATCGGTTGTTAGCAGAGGAGACCATGAATAAAATCGGAAGATCTGAGAATGAGTTGTCGGATTTCTTTTCGATGTTGCCTGAATCGCTTACTCATCACATATTGTCATTCCTTCCGTTCAAGGATATCGTCCGTACTTCAGTCTTGTCTAAGATGTGGAGTCGCATTTGGCTCAATTACCCTAACATCGATTTGCTTTTGCATGAGGAGGCTTACATGGATACACTACATCGACGCTCTTTCTTAGATCACATTAAATTAATCATGGATCAATGCATTCTTCGAAAACCTTGCATACAGAAGTTGCAGTTAAACGTTTTTGCCGGTAACCTGGAGGAGTTGGCCCCCATTATGGATCAGTGGTTCAGGGCTGCAATTGAGAGGAATGTTTCTGAGCTATTGATTGAGATGAATTTTGGTGCAACCACTTACTATAATATTCCCAAGGAAGTATTTGTGTCTAATTCACTAAAGGTTTTAGAGCTTCAGGGCTGCAAGTTTGAGGATAGTTTTTCCTGCACTAGTCTTCCACATCTGCAGAAGCTCAGAACTTTGCGGTGCCTGTTTGCCAGTGAGAATGTCTTATCCAACATTTTATGTGGCTGTCCTGAGTTGGAGTCTCTGGAAGCTTTAGTTTCTGAGGGCATGAGCAGTTTTCTCTCGGTTTCATGTAAACCTAGATTGAAATATTTCGACATCACGTGTCTCAACGAGCTCAAGAGGATTGAGATCTTTGTACCCAGTCTTGAGACGTTAAAATGTAGTTACGTGTATTCATGTTCCATTAACATGGCTAGTTGCACTCTTCTCAAACATTTGGAATTAAACCGAGTTACCCTCTCTTCTGATTATGTTCCTATTCAGTATCTTTTATCTAACCTTCCCCATATTAAAGAATTGCATTTGTCTAACTGCAAATCCGATGACAAAATTCAAATCTCAAGTTCTTGTCTCAAGAGACTTGTCATGACCGAGTACGAAAACTTTCCTGGTGCTGAACTTGACATCCCAAATTTACTTAGTTTAGACATCTTTTTGGGTGAATGTAATTCGACTAATCGGTTCAGTTCTTGGAATGTTCCCAAGGTAGAAGAAATTCACATGTTGTTGTCTGTTAAAAGCTTTCAGAGTGCTTGCAGGGGTGGACTGAAGGGGTTCCTAATGCAGTTGCAACATTATGAAGATGTGAAATTGATTATACAGTGCAGAGGTAAACAGGTAAGTCTCATTGCGCTTTTACTTCACATGCATTGCTACCTGAAGTCGCATAATGTTTTTTAGTGAGATTACCAGTTTCGTGTTTCTTCTTAAAGTAGTATGCAACCAGTGTGAGTATAACTCTTTAAGATCTTGCATAGTATTCATTTTATCATGGGGAAAATCTCATTACACCCTTTGTGTTTAGCCCAAAGAACAATTACACACTCTTTAAGAACAATTGAGTAACGAAGTATTCATTTGATCTGATATTCTTTCCACATTGTCAATAAAAAACCTTAAGAAAATGGAAGATTACGCATTTACCCACAACTGTTAGACTTTCAGTTCTCTGACTCAAACACGCCGTTTTCATCACTCAACTTGACAGTCTTGACCAACATTCTTTATTCTATCTCTCACGCTGCCTCCTACTACATCTCATATCTTTCTGCCGTTGTCGCCTGCAACAATGGTATCATCTCGGGCACTTATAATAATTCTTCTACTGGTCGAGACGATGAATGAAAAAAGAAGATGCTGTCTGTTCTCTCGATTTCATTGACAACCATGAGGTGTAAAAAGATGATTATGAGCCATGTTACAAACTGGGTTCCTGCTCCTTAATGGATGATTCTATAAATTGCTTTAAGAACCACCATCCTGGCTCATATTATGGGAGGCTTAGTTGGAACCCCCACAACTTTTTAAATTCCAAGGTTATAGCTTTTTCTTTTTTAATCTGAATAAATAAGGTTGTTTAATTTTCTGGGTAACTTTAATTTACTGCATTCTTTACTTCTTGTTGAGGTTCTGGTTATCTTTGTAACACTCATCAACATACAAGAAAATTGAGAAGCATATATAACTTTACATGCAAGTTTACCAAGATCAGTTGAATATGGGAGATCTACATTTGGTGCCATATTCGGACTACCAGCAGTTGGCAGTGAGAAGTCTATCCCTCTTTACTAAGGCTGAAAACTTGAGCCCAATATTTATTTGGTCGGTCATCGGTGGTAATTAATCTGTCTGATTCTGTGAGTTTAAGGCTTGTTCTGTTTGATCATCTTGCACCTACTTTCTCTCCCTAATCAGCCATTGGGGCTGCTTCTCGTCTTTCTCCGCCGGGGCAGGCGGAGGCCGTGAAAGGACCTCTTTATCCATATACCAGACATTACCTAGATCAAGTTCAACTCCTCCATGTCCAAACAAGATAATCTTCCCTTTCTTAAAGGGGTGTTTTTGGAACGCGTAAGAAATTTTCTGGTTAAATGAAAATGTTGGTACTTATGAGGCTTAGGCTATGTTCTGTTGGACTTATTGCAACCCAGACACACTGGATCAGACTAGACCACCATGATATAATATACTCCGTATTATGTTATAGTACTGTTATTATAGTGATCTATTCATTTGGACTAGAATTTTCTTGTCTTGTCTGACCTATACTAGCATTATTTCTTTCAAGTCTGGTATGATATGGTCTCTTAAGTTCTTTCTATTTTGGTCCAGTCTAGTTATATTTAATACATTGTGTATTTTGTTACTATGAAATGCAAGTCTAGTAAAGTCAAGTCTAATTTGGTCTAGTAAATCCAGGTTAACCTGAGCTGGACTGGTACGATATGACCCGGTCTTGTCTAATTATTACTTGTTCGGTCTCTTGTGCTTGATATGTTTTTATGTAAATTTATCATGGTGAAAGCCTGTTCATTAATAAATATTCCCTCCGTCCCTTAAAACTTTGCCAAAGTTGACTGATATGTAGAATAATAAAGTAAAAATTGTGTTGAGATTTGTGCAGAGGAGAGGCATTAAAAAGAACCACAAATTCTTTATTTAAAAGGAAAGTAACAATGTTAGTGGGGAAAAAAATAAAGTTGGCAAAATTACAAGGGACAGAGGGACAATGTTGTTTATTACTTGCATAGTTATTAAAAAAATCAATTTCTTTAAATTAGTTTTTATAAGATTCTTTCCAAATTTGTATAAATTTGGAAATTAGTTATCATTATTATTTGTATATTTTTTTTTAAAAACAAATTTAACTAATAACATTAAAAAGTGTGATAATTTGGTGTTTTAACAAGTATGATATGTGTAATATATTGCACTACTATTAAATTGTATCTATAAAAAACTTCATATAGTGCCAATCCAGACTAGTTCACACCCGTCAAAATCAAATTTAACCAGATCAAATCAGACAAGAGCAATTTAGATCAGACTAGATTAGAAAAACACATATTGCTCACATTGTTTGTAATTGCGCAATGCAATTGCGCCTCATGGCGCGCCTCAGCTAATTCCTGGACTATGGCGTAAAAGGCATTGCATAAGGCGTTGGGAGTGTGATGTGCGCAATATTGCACTGAGGCGTACGCAATATTGGATACGCAATAAGGCGCTCTGAGGCGTACGCAATAGGAGGTCAGGGTGTAAGGGTATTATTTGGGCCCACTCGGCCCACTTTTAAATTTTTATAATTGATCTTATGATCCCTATTTCAAACCAGTAGTTACTGATTGAATTTTTCAGTCAATCAATCTAATTAATTTAAATTTTCATATCTTAGATTTTTGTTTTGATAAATGATTCAGAATGTTTTGGTATTCTACTTTGAAGTTTGAACATGTTACTTTGCTTGGCCTCTTATGGTTTGTTTTAATATAACATTTGATGACTTTTGATGAATATGTTTATTTTTTATTATGTTTATAATATATATATATATATATATATATATATATATATATATATATATATAGAAAAGATCCTGTCCAGACGTCCGGACAGGAGCCGCCGTCCGGCCGGCGGCGTTTGGCCGCCTTCCCGGTGAAATTTTTTGATGAAATTTTTATGGCATGTTCTCCATCGAGTCTAGTTTATCCACAAAAAAATTCAGCCAAAAACTCAATCGGGAAGGTCGTCAAATGATTTTTGCAAGTTAACTGGTCCGGAATATGTATTTTCCGGACCAGTTAACTTGCAAAAATCATTTGACGACCTTCCCAATTGAGTTTTTGGCTGAATTTTTTTGTGGATAAACTAGACTTGATGGAGAACATGCTATAAAAATTTCATCAAAAAATTCCACCGGGAAGGCGGCCAAACGCCGCCGGCCGGACGGCGGCTCCTGTCCGGACGTCTGGACAGGAGCATTCCTCTATATATATATATATATATATTACGCCTCAGCTATACGCCTCATTGCGCAATGAGGCTTACGCAATATGCAATATTAAAAAAACGCCACGACTACGCAATTCGCAATTTCGAACCTTGATTGCTCAATGGGCTAAACTTTTTACGGTATAGTTGAGACTCTTTTTGTTATCCTTAGGATGTTTTTGCTTGGAATGGTTTCAGATTAGACCAGATTTAAACAGATCAGACTAGACTTTGATAGTGAAAATACACATGGACTAGACATTTATCAGACCAGACCAGTTCAAACGAGATCAGACCAGAGTACTAGACTTAAATAGACCAGATTAGACTAGAAAATTTCATTATAACAAAAAACATCCGCAGTCTCAAACCTGCTTTAATGCCAACCATTAGTATCAGTAATAGTGATAATTTTAGTATTCATTATCATTATCATGGTTATGATCTCGATCCTCATTTTTATTGCTATTACCATTATTATATACTCCCTCCGTCCCGCTATGATTGTCCCATTTTACTATTTCGGTCCGTCCCACTAAGATTGTCTCATTCCTTATTTGGTAAAGTTTGTGTGGTTCTAAATCATTCCTACTTTATTCTTACTTTATCAATTCAATATCAACCACATAACCACACTTTTATTAATAACCGTGCCACCTTCTCTTGTCCCAAACTTAGGGGGACGGAGGTAGTACTATCTAATTATTATTGTTGTTGTCGTAGTTGTTATTATAGAGCATCTAGAATTTATCATTGAATTTAAATACTATTTACAGGATCTAATTATACATGAGAAACTGCACGCAGTTTCCTTTTCTTCTCTGAATAAATTCTTAAAAAAGGCAAAGGCAGAATATGTGGTCATATCATCCAGAAGAGATGATTCATTCTTGGCTAATATGCTGGTTTCAAATGACGATGTTAGTCTATCCATGATATGTTCTTCTCGCAGAAGCATTGAGGTATTTGGTGGTTACTTTTAGACCTTGTATATGGATGGAGTATGTTTCTGCTGCAGGAGTTTCTGAGTGTTCGCTTCAATTTTTTTACTTTTTAACCTGAATTTCAGTTGCTGCACAAGAAATTGAGCAAATCATCAACACTGAAATATTGGTATAAGGAATTTCAGCTGGTTTCTATGGAGGAGATAGAGCATGAAGTGGACAGTGATTGGAAACCCTTCATGAAGACCCATTCAACAGGTTACCACACTGCCAGAATAATCCTTATCAAGAAGAGTATGATGGACATGATCCATTCAATGAATGTTTCATGTGTTTGAAAAAGCGCTAGGCGGCAGCCCCTGGGCCTAGAACCTATTGCTGGGGATGTTTAGTGCAGCGTGCTGCTTATATTCTCATCAATCAGACTAACACTGCGCTCCTGCAATGACAATCCATTCTAAAAGGTGTTGAGATTCTTTACCTTCTCTCAAAATCATGGGGCAGTGTTACAGGAGTGCAGTGAATTGTGTATAAAATGGTGGGGCCGATGTAGAAATAAAAGTTGTCTCCAAAACAATTGAGAGTTTCTTTGAAATCTTTAAGATAAATTTTAATTCATTATTCATATGAATAATGATTGTTCATCTTCCAGCCTTCACCCTGAAGCTAGATTCTAACATCAGAGCAGCTACACGTTAAAACCAGACATCACATTAGATGATTAGACCTAGGTTTCGACATCACGTTAGTACATTGCACATATGTAAAACTAATCTCAGTATCAGATTTCAAAGGGAATACAATGACCATAAAAGGAAAAAGTACAAAACAAATACATGAAATTGTGTATGGATGAGTTTCAAATAGATGGAAGGAAATGGATTTTTGTAACACTTTTTTTCATCTGGCACATTGCTCTGTATTTGCGATTTGACTCTTTTTTCGTAAGTTTCTATAGTAATTATCCTTAATGGGGCTAAATGAAACTTAAAATTTAAAATAAGATTAACACTTAAAATTTCACACAGGACTAAACGTTAATTTTCTACCCTTAATATCTCTAATTAATTAAGTAATTATTTAATTAATTGCCCCTCTAGTCCTCTTGGGCAACTGAGACAGTCCGTTGGGTGGCAGAGTAGATTGGGTGTGGCGGCGGTGATTGGCAGCGGCAGACGGGTTGGTGAAAAAAAAATCTGGATTTTCTGGCACAGCCGCACAGTTGGAGCTCTAGTGGCGGCGGCAGCATGTAGTGATGGACCCGGGCCGGGCCGGCGGTTCAGGATTGGTGGACCCGGGCCGGGCCTCCAGTTTGGTTTTTTTTTTTTTTTTTTTTTTTGCTTTCCTAACCCTCCCCTCACCCCCCACCCCCAAACCCCCCAAACCCATCCTAACCATCAAGCCCAACCCGGGTGGAACCCCAAAAAATGAAAAAAAAATCAATTTGGCCCGGACCCGGGCCCGGCCGGGCCGGTTCGCCAAATGTGAGACCCGAGCCCGGACCCGCCCGACCCGGACCCGAGAACCGGGCCGGTTTGGTCCACGGGCCGTGTGGCCCGACCCGAGTCCACCACTAGTAGCATACTAGCATGTGGCATCGAGTGGTGGCAGAGACTTTTTTGTTCAATCACAAAACAACTCATATTTTGGCAATTTAAAAATTGCTATTCCTATTTATAATTTTGGCCATCTTTTAGTCCTATTTAGATAATTCACTAATTTCTATTCGTATTGCTGATAAATTGGAGAGGTTTTTTTTTCAAATCAGAAATCGAAATTGACAGTGAGGTTTAATCCTATTTAGGTAATTCACTAATTTCTATTTGTGCTGATAAGTTGAAGAGGTTTTTTCTCAAATCAGAAATCGGAATTGATAGTGAGATTTTATTTTTTAAATGCCACCTTAATCTTATAGACATTGGAGGATATTTGTAGTTAAATCTTATTTCTTTCGTGGCAGTGCATTTTGCGGTCATCCATCCCACCCATCAGTGAGTGCAATTTTGTTCACCCCCTCCTTAAAGGGTGAACATCACCCCCATAGCTCAAATGTTGCCATTTGGCATTTCATTTCTTTTTTTGCCACATGGCAAGCAAATAGGGAGGGGGGTTATGTTCACCCTCCAAGGAGGGGGTGAACAAAATTGCACTCCCCATCAGTAATGCACTCATTGAAGCAAATATCTCATCTCATAATTAGGAGTCCAAAAATTCTACATTTAGCGTTTTGGACTCCTAATACCCCACCACTCCAAATGGTCTAATGATCTTTTTGCAGCTTTGAATGCATGAAGGTGATGGATGATGTATGTTAAGATCAAGAAAAGGAGATAAGCAGATAAAATAAATTGGTGGCACTTAGGATTGAATAATTTATGGCAGCCTTGAATATTCATTAAATATGTTTTACAACCTAGCCTTTATAAAGATTAGGGAAATTACCCCAAATAGGATTAAACCTTTGAATATTCCAAAATAGGACTATTATGTTTTTATTTCCAAAATAGGACTAGTATCTGCTATGTTTTGGCAGTACCAGACTTTAAACATAACAGTAATTTTCAAACCCTGCTGTAATTATGCCTATTTTGAAATTTTCAAACTTATTTACTCCTATTTTGGGAAATTTCCCAACTGATTTCCCAGACTTAGGGAGTGTTTGCAATTGCTTCAACTTTAAAAAAGTGATTTTTTAAAGTGATTTTGGGGAAAGTGATTAATAGTAAAAGTTGGTAGTGTTTGAGAAAAAAGTGATTCTGAAAAAGTAAAAGTTGGTAATGTTTGGTAAAATAAGTACTTTTTGTGTAATAGAAAAAGTGAAAAGCAGTTTAAAGCACCCTTCCACCTGCTTCCAGCTTTTAACTTTTAAGTGATTAATTTAAACAGAAGCTGTCATTTGAAAACACTCTTTTTAGCTTTTTTAAGCCAAAAGCTGAAAAGCGCTTTTTTGAAGCAACCGCAAACACTGCTTTAATATTAGTTTCAAACTTAAGACTGCCTTAACATTGATGTTGTTGACTTTTTAAGCATAATTAAACGCAAATTTTTTAATCGAAACAAAGATCTGTAAGTAAATAACAAAATCCTTAAAATGTAATCTACCACCACTTGAGAAGTTACAATTTGGATGTTTTCAACCATTAGATATTCATATACCGATCAAGCAGCCTAACATATGCGCGGAGAAAACCCGGAGCCTAGCAGTGAGACTCTTGTTTCCCTACGGCATATCCCTAGGGCTTGATTTTCCGGCCAACGACTTGCGCTGATTGTTGCTCGGCGAGTTTTGAGAGGCATTACATATGCTAATCTTATTGCTGATTGGGTTGCTTGGTTTCAGTGGAGGGGTGACTTGGAAGGGCAGTGGGCTTGAAGGATGTGGCTGGGCGGTGGACATGGAGATCGGAAGACAATTCTATTTAACTAGTTTTTACTAAATTAAAGTACTCCAAAAGTTGGTATAATTTTAATTTTAAAGTCACACATTAATTCTACTTTGCACTAAATTAGTTTGAAGTATTAATTAAAATAGTTTTAATTAGTTGCATTAGTTTTGTATCCATTATTATATTGGTTGTCAATTAATATTTGTTACATTTTTAACATGGAAGGTGGTAGATATTCGGTTGATTTGGGTAACCTCCAACGCAATCGAAGGAACGAGATTGGGAGGAAGAAATCCCGCAAAGGTAAAGAACTTGCCGGTTCTTCATCTCAAAGCCGAGATGATTTTGAAACGGGTTACCAAAGGCGAGATGGAGATGCGATGTCCTAAGAACAACTCCAACAAGAATTGGCCCGACATAATAACCGCTTTCTACAACAACAACAAATGCCGACGACCATTGACGAAGAGGAGCTTGAGGATGAAGATGCGGAGGAATTGGAACCGGAGACGGCCGAGGAGGAGGGTGCCGGCAGCCACGACGCCGACGCGCCTGCCTCATCCTAAACCGCCACCGGTAATAAACAAAGTAAGTCTGAACTAATGAAAAATAATTTTGATAAATGGAAGGACCCACAAACCGGCTATTGGCACGCAACTTGCAAGTGGTGCTACAACAATTATAGTTTGGGAACCTCCGGCGGATACGGATCCGCCGCAAGGCACCTTAAGGCAAAGCACCCCGTGGAGTATGCAAAATTAGGCGGCGGAACGGGGAAGCAAACTCAAATATCGAGGTTTGCGAATTCTCAACCTTTTGGTAATTTCTCCTACAATGATGCACAAAATTTGACTGGTATGGCTAACTTAATTTGTGAAGAAAATTTGCCTTATTTGTTTTCTGAAAGTCTTGCTTTAAGAGATTATGCACAAGGTAGTTTAAATCCTCAATTTAGAAATTATAGTCGCGAAACTGTTAAGAAAGAAATAATAAGGCTTTATAATGCGGAAAAGGAAAGGTTACAAATTTTTTTTGCAAACTTTGATGGGCGTGTTACTATTTGTTCTGACATATGGGAGGATGATTTTCATCATTTATATTATTTGGGTCTGACTGCACATTATATTGATGAGGATTGGAATATGCATAAACGTGTTCTTGCTTTTCGTGAATTTAATGATCGTCACACCGCTGAACATATTTATATTTTGATTGAGCGTATTTTAATTGAGTATAATTTGATTGATAAGGTGTTTGCTATTGGTTTCGATAATGCTACGAATAATACTGCTGCTATACCTAGATTGCGTGAGTTGTGTGGTGTCAATTCTTTGATGGGTAGATTTTTTCATCAACGCTGTGCATGTCATGTTATAAATTTATGTGTGCAAGACGGTTTAAAAGCGTTAGGAGATTCCATGGAGGTAATAAAGGGGGGGATTAGACGTATTTGGGGTAATGGTCAACTTAGATTAAAATGGCAAAGTTATTTGACTGAAAGAGGTGTGAGATATGTTGCTTTTCCTAAAGATTTGAGTATTCGTTGGAATAGTACTTATAAATTACTTAAAGTTGTTCTTAGATATAAAGAACATTTTCCTGCTTTTTTAAAAGAACATGATAACTATATTATAAACGCGGCTGAGATCGACACTTGCGAAAAAATTTGTAATGCTTTGATATTTTTTTTTAATGCTACTGAAACTTTTAGTCATGTTTATAAACCTACCGCAAACCAATTTATTCCACAAGCTGTCGCCGATGCTTTTAAAGAAGTTCAAAATGCCGTTTTCGTTCATTATTTTTGTGATCATATGAAGGAAAAGTTTTTAAAATATTATGCGCATATTCCTCATATTTATGGTATTGCATTTATTCTCGATCCTCGTTATAGACTTGCTAATTTGGAAGATTGTTTCAACTTCTATTATCTTGCGTTTTTCGGTGAATTTCCAATGTATGACGATAACCCCATAGATCCGAAAACGGAATACAACGAGGTTAGTACTTTATTTTATACCTTATTTAATGAGCTTCGTGCACAATATAGCAACGCTCCCCCTCCCCCGTCACGAACATCTTCATCTAAAGGAAAATCGATTTTTAAATCTGCATTTGGCAATCTTATGAAAAAAACTAAAACAACTCACGACACTGAACAAAGCGCATTGAATGAGATTACTTTGTATTTAACATATGAAGTTGATTTTGAAGAAAATGATGACTTTGACGTTCTAGACTGGTGGAAGTCAAAAGAAAGAACG